TGTTGTTGTTTTTCCCAAGAAACTCGTCAATGTATCCTCGGAGGTGCTCAGTGTCCACATTTTACCCCCTTTGACAAAGCATTTCCAAATTAAGTACACCAAAAAGGTAACCATCAACCTATAATATTCCTAATATTCCGGAATATTTTAGTATCTGAACTCAAACAGCGAAGAGGTGCAATGAACATAAAATGTCAAGAAATGTTTAGGCTGTATTTCATTATTATTGTTTTCTTTTATTGTTTTCTTTTTTTGTAATAAATACATAATGTTTTTCATAAAGAAAATAAAGCACGTTTTAGGACCATTAAGATGGTAGTCCTGTTTTAAATGCAGTGCCGACTGGTTCCGGGTCTTGCTTACACTGTTACAGTGAACTTCCAGCCAGATGAGTGGCGTTACTTTTCTGATAACATCAGGATTCACTGCAAGGTGAGAACATGTTTTCGTCTGATGTTTGCACATGCAAATTCTGACAGGACTTAGAATGGCTGTGATGTGTCTGTGTTTGTGTTGTTTTTAGGGAGAGGAGAACTTACTGGTTCCTGTTCATGCATATCCTGTTATCAACGATCTTCACATCCCATCTCACATCAGTCTTCCCCCAGTGCCACTTGGGCAGAGGCATGCAATGATAATCATAATTCACAAGTAACATGTAAAATAACTGTATGCTACATTTTTGTTATAAAACTGTCTATGATGTATGTGTGTATATAATACACTACTGTTCAAATGTTTGGGGTCAGTAAGTTTTCCCTCTGTTGATATGTGAAAAAATGTTTAAAAAAAATTTACTTTCTTTTATAGTGCCAGTCATGTGATTCCACTTAGCTGCAATTGTCCAAGAGATTTTGAGTTCCAAGTGCATTGCCTTCAGATCCATAAGGCTTTCACTGCCAAACCACTGTCGGGTAACCAGGTTCCTTCACATTTGACATATCTACAGAGCAACGAGAACCTGTATAGCTGCATAAATATTGAAAGAACTCTAGTTAGTGATCAGTTATATACTAGAACAGTAGACTTTATGTACTGTACTTATGTTATCCATATGTTAATCAGGGATTATTCCGGCAAATGGAAAGACTGTTAAAACAAAGTGACATTTGCACCTCTGCGATACGGTACAGCTGATATCACACTGCAGCTTGTCATCTCTCTGTTCAACTCTAAACCTGTCATCTTCACAGTGACGGGTTCCTCATCTCCATACCTGCTGCTCAGGTAATACACAGATAAAGTGAGAGGGGACATCGGATGCAAGTTTCCACAAGTATGATTCTTTAGGGTCTTCATGAAATGTCTGTAACATACTTTG